TGTGATAATTGTTGTGATTGGTAGGGCTGGTCTTTTTTACTCTCTAGATCTATTATACCTGCGGTAGCATCCCGAAAAGGTTTATTAAAATTTGATAATTAATAGTTAAGGTAAATGCATTTAACTCTTAAAAACAATAATCACTAATAAAATATTTCACCTATCATAACAGTATTCTGGAACTTTTTTATTTTAAATAGTTCTATTTAATTATATATGAAGTGAATATAAATTAGCAATACGGACATGAAAAACAAAAAATTATAAATTTTTTTTAATAAACTAAAAGTAAAAATAAAGATACATATTAGAAAATTTAAATGGGTAAAGGAACTAAATTTTCATTAACTTCTTTTGAATGCAACACATCAAAAAAGTCATATGACTTGTCTGCCTATCTGTATTTTTTCAATTAAGTGTTTTCATTATTAAATTATTGAGGACATACCCAATAAATGAACACATGCCATCCTTATTGTTGGACCCAACTATTCATTAAAAAATAATAAAGAATAATTATTTAATAAAAAAGAAAGAGAACATTAAATAATAAAGATGCAAACCGTATTTTGTTTAAGAAATTTCTAGCCCCTTCTTCTTTTTGTATATTGTTGAGAAATCTTAATACAAATAACTTAAAAACAATAATAGAAAAGGGTTTTATGGTATATTTTACCCCTAAAATATTGCAATTTGGCAATTTCACACCTAAAATATTAAATTTGCATAATTAGTAATTAGGTAAATGTGATCCAAATTACTTAATCTTGTTATTTCAAATGATCAACTATTAGTTGACCGTTACTTAGTTTTTTTTTAATGGAAGTCAAGAGGAATTAAAAGAGGTAAGGCATACGACATATCGTTTTTCTTACCCCTTTCAATTCCTTTCATAAAAACTTAATTGAAAACAGGAGAGAGAGAGACATGGAGAGAAGGGGAGAAATTGTGAAATTTCGAGAGAGCTGTTAGAGTTCATGAGATAGTCTATTAAGGGTTAGATTTTAGTTAGGTTTTTGGCCAATTGGAGTGAATTGGGGGTTAGATCTTCTACAAGTCCTTGTCCTTTTTTGTTGTCATCTTTTGCTTTTTGTCGTGGTTTTGTCAAAATCTAAGGTGAAATGCTAAATTCAGCTTTGTTATTGCATATTGGAGGAAAGCTTGTTCGAAATCTTGACTTAAAGTACATTGGTGGTGTGTGTGAGATTAAATTGGTTGAAACTGATTTTTTTTCTTTTACGTCCTTGAAACAACTTATTAGAAATTATAAGTGGATTGATCCTTAAAAGATACATTGTATGCTATTATGGAATGTTGATACATTAGAAACTTAGTTGATATATGGGTATAATGAAAGATCTTTTTTTTCATATTTGGATGACTTTCTCAAGTAAGAAAATATGAAGTTTTTTTTATGAAGGATGCGAATAGGCTAGTGAAACATGGTAATGAATTGCTTGATCTTGAGAATGGTAGTGACAATGTGGTCCGAGGAACAGATTGTGCGGACATATATGGATGTTGATGGTAGGAATTATGAGGGTAGTAGTGGCATTAGACTTATTGATGTTGTAATTTCTTGTGTAAATGAGGGTATTGATGCAACTAATAGAGAAGGAAAATTTAATAATATGGATGGTTATTGTTGGAAACATGAGTAGTATGAGACCTTATGTTGTGTCGGATATGCTTTTGGAAGCATTGAGGTAGGGCTTGTGTTAGATGACGTGAGGAGGGAAGATGGTGATAATGTTAAAGGTAACAAAAAGGGGTGGGCAATGAAGAGGGTGAAAATAGTGAGTCTAGTTCGGAAGACAATAAGGATGATGAGGATGGTTATGATAGTATATTAAAGTCTGGATGATGAGATAAAATTAATTGATATGCCACAGCTTACTTGACAATGATGATGAAGAGCTAGTGGTGGTAGGAATAACTTTGCAAAGTTGAAACAATCCACGAGTAAAAAACATATTGCTTTTATCCGTATAGCATCACGAGTTGATACTTTATAATCTAATAGCCAAAAACCCGATGGTAATGATGCTGAAGAAGAGGTAATTGGTGTATGTTTTTATGAGTTTGATTTGAATGAAGATGGAAGTCTTGAATCAAACAATAATGATGATGGTGAAACGAGATCATGGAAGGAGAAAAAATCCCAAAACTGTGCATTTTGATGACACTACCAAAGATTGTCAATTTTCACTTGGCATGGCTTTTACAAACAAGAAACAAATCATTAAAAGTTTAGAAGATCATTGCGTGGTTAAAAGAAAGGAGATTGAATTTGTCAAACGTGATAGACAAAGAGTTAGAGCAAAGTGTAGTAATCGAAATATGAATGGGTGTTTTATGCAAGATATAAAAGGCAAACATATAGCTTTGAACTTAGAATATATGTAGATGAGCATACCTATCGGGTTGCATTTAAGTATAAAAGGATTAAGGTCGAGGTTGTAGCAAAGAACTTAAGAAAAAAACTTTAGGATTATTTCTTTTAAAATTGATAAAAAGATATGAAAACATAAGCTAGAGAGAAATTATTTTGTAACATAAGTTCTAACTAAGTTAGAAGAGCAAAAGAAATTATAGAGAGGCATTTTCATGGAAATGATAGTGTAAAGTACTCCATGTTGCAAGATTATTTAGAAGAGCTAAAGAGGAGTAACAAAAGAAGCATTATTGAAATTTGGTTTACCAAGCCTAGTAGAGGGGTAATCCGAGTGTTCAAGGTTGTGTATATTTTTTTTGATGCACTTAAAAGAGGATTTAAGACGGGATACATGCCAATTATTGAAATGGATAGATGTTTTTTGAAAGAAAAGTATAAAGGTGAGATCTTAGTCTGTTATGGGAAAAGATGGGAATAACAAAATATTTCCTTTGGCTTGAGCTATTATTGATGGTGAAAATTAGTACACTTAGAGATGGTTTATTGAGCACTTAATGAGAGATCTGGATATAGAGTTTAAAAATGACGACCTACTAGACACTAATGACGGACCAACAAAATGTTAGATTTAATTATCCATTAAACTTTATAATTCTATATTTTGATTTAGAGTTTGAACTTTGAAAATGGAAGTCGTTGATATTTATTGACTAATATATTTCTTCTTGGTAGGGTTTTGAGAAGGCAATCAAAGAGAAAATGCCATATGTCGAGCATAGAAATTATGTAAGGCATATATTTGGTAATTAGAGGAAGAAACATAAAGGTAAAAAGCTTCATGAAAAATTTGAGGCAATTACCCTTATCTAAGATGATATCTCACAAAGCATCGTATTTGCTAATGAAAAATTTGTTGAAGGTGAAACCAACGTTGGGATAAACTACAAGTTGAGTTATGGAAGAGTGCCCTTCAATCCAAAGTTTTCAAGTTTGGGAAAGCTAAGGGGTTGTCTGCTTAGTTAAAGTAAAAGAGCTAAAATGTAACAATTTTCAATGTGTAGATTCCATCATTCAAAACCGAGAGAATGTTAAAGAGGATATTAGCAATAGATTCGGATATGGATTTTTGAAATGCTGTAGTATGACGAGAGGATTATGTTATACAAATCTTCCTACTAGTTGAATCCTAAGTTCAATGATATTGTAGTATGTTCATTTGAGTGTTTGGGTGCCTTTACAATTTCAATTGCAACAAAGGATTTAAAACTTCACGAGAAAAAAACATTAGTTTTGAAGATTTATTTTTATAATCATCAAAAGTCATAATATCCTTTTTGTTTAGGGCATTGGACATTTAAGAATAATCGATAATCCTTTGCAACCTCAACTAAAAGTTAAACTACTTTTCTTATGAATTGATTAAATTCAATTCTTGTTGCATGTGTAGTAGAATACTGAAATTTGAATTCAATAAGGGATCTTCTAGCTACGTAAGCTATCGAAGAATTGGGAAAAATATACAATGAATGTCCCTCGGGTATCATTATAATTTCATGAAATACATCACTAGCTTTGAATATATTTTAAAGTATTCATCTCATATATAATGACTATCTTGAATGTCTTTGAGTTATGTGAAACAAATCGGTTTCCATTTGCTTTACTATAAAGCTTGTTGGCATCTAGTAGCAACATGAGATTTTGCTTGGAAGAGTCCCCCTATCAAGCTTCTCATAAACCGGTTATGCTTTTGAAGTGTTTGATGCATGTGAATACACTTATTTGTTTTGTGATATAGAGGTGCACATGTTAATAATTTGGCAATTTCGATAAACCGGACTACATGATTACTTGTTCCTAGTTTTAATGATTTATGTGAGATATCCAAGGATTGTTATGGTAAAAATAAACTACCCTTGTTTCTTTCATTAAATTACTTTTAATTCTGTGCATTGTTTGAATGATATTACTTGCTCCGAGTGTGTGTTGGGATGATTCCACTCATGCTATCCATAACTTTTATTTGTTTTAATGTTTTTTATGCACTCATGTATGCATAGATCCTATCTTTGTTGGTTTTCTTGTCATTTGGCATTCTTATCGTTTTCTCCCTTACTACCCTGGATTGTTTTCGACATGCTTTGATGATAATCGTTTCATCATTATTTGTTTGTTATTTGGTAGACCTATATTGATTTGGGGCTTCGGATAAAAGACGGCCTACCTATTTTGAATGATCTAAAATTTGATCATGTATTAACTTATCTTTATTGAATTTTACTCTTATAGATTCATGATAAAGTGAAGAAGTTGCTATCCGAATGTAAATATGAGGATTGCAAGAGTTTGGGACAAGATTTGAGCACCATATCAAAGATATGTTTTTGTATTTTTCTCTCATCCCGCATTTAAGTGATGCATTTTCATCTTTGTTATTTTTAGTGAAATTTGATATGACATTGGGCAATTTATGAAGCATGCTACAATTGAATGTTTTATGAGTCTTATCGTATTGGGTATCGGTTCAGCTCATTGGCTAAATCTGCAAATGAGTAGTTTAGCTTCATGATTATTTTATTTTTTTATCCGATGGGTTCTTTACGGAATGATTGGATGGTTTTTCTCTCGATCCTGTCAATCGGTGGCAAAAGCTAGACTAACTATTGGAGGGGCAAAGTTAGAAAAGTCAGGAGGCTTTAAGAATATCATGGCATACGTTGAAATTTTGGGACTGCTTAGTAATTAATTTTAAGGGTTTACATGAAAACATGCCTAAAATTTGAGGACTGCGTGAATTTTTGAAATTTTCTTTTTGTTTTTGCTTTTTATTTTTTTGGGTGCGGCAGGCATGGCTTCCTCACTATTTTTGATTCAGTGTCACCCTGTCTCATAGCTTAAGAGTATGCTGATAAAATTCCAATTCGGAAATCATACCTTAAGAGTATCCTGCCTCATAGGCATAACAACCCACCGTCAACAGGCCCGCTACACTACTCAATACCAACGATTAAGATTATATTATCTGACTTTAAGCGATCAGATTTGCAAAACAAAAGAGTAAAAAAGAGAGAGGATGTTGGACCAGCGGTTGGGAGATAAAAACAAACTGATGCAGAGAAGATGGTGGACCAACGGTTGGGAGATTGTTGGAGATAACAGTAGTAATGTGTCTTATTATTTGGGTCTAAATAAATAGTATTTGTACAGTTAATAGATGTTTTAGTTTTTGATGAATGAATTGAAGGTTGTTCAAAACAGACAAAAAAATTAATGATCTCATATTAAGAGACTTATAAAATGAAAGATTCCAGCAAAGCAAGCAAATGAGTTGTTTCGCCAATCAGTTGCCTCTTTACCTTTGGAAAAAGCAAGCGACCCACGTCCCTCACTACCGGCTTGCTACCATCCAGCACGTCCCAACCTCAAGTCTTCCACAGCATCCGCACGCGCAAACCCCTTTCTCCCCTCCACAAATATCTCACGTGCCTTGTTTCAACACCGGACGGTACCGATACTCGAGAGGTTAATCAAGGCATAGCACAACTCTACGACCAGTCGTCTGGTGTCTGGGAGGACATATGGGAAGACCACATGCATTACGGGTTCTGTGACCCGGTTTTCGGGATTGATTCGGATCACCGGGCTGCCCAGATATGAATGATACAAGAGGCCCTCAGTTTTGCCGGCGTTTCGGGTTTGTTAGTTATTTCTTGCTGGCTCTCTTTCCATTCATCATATCTCAACTCCCAAAAATGACCTTACTATAAACACAAACAACGTGGTTATCATCATCATCGTTATCATCATTATGTTTTGAATGAATAGTCATAAGGAGAAAAGTTTTTAATTTTTTTTTTATTTGGATTCCCAACTTTTTAGTTGTTCTGCAATTAAATTATCTCGCCCGGTAGCCCAATCTTAGGTCACAGTAAAAAACTGTTTTATTTTTAGAGTTTTTAGTCTGAGATTGGTTAATAAAATAATAAAAAAAAACAATACAAAAAAAATTGGTTAGGGACTTTTTTGTCTTTTGACAAATAATTAGCCTGATTATTAGTATTATTATTATGCTAATAAATACTGTGTTTTGATGAGTGATTTTGTGAATTTGTAATTTTAATTAATCTTCATGATGCTTTTGTTGCCCACAGCTGACAGGCTGACACCTCCAACGTTTTATTTGTAAATTTTTCAACTAAAGGAGAAATTATTATGTATTTCATGCTTTAGTGTTTCTATAAAGTGGGATCCATTATGATAATTTTTTAGCGGAAGTATAATTGTGTATAAACTCTAGCTTCTCTTTCTTTGGCCAAATACAAAGGTAGTTGATATCTAAATGTAATCATGTTAACTTTCGTTTCTGTTTGTTATTTTTTCGTTTATATTGATGGAGCTGCTGAAAGAATTGGATCTGCTTCTGTTGTAGCATCATCATCATTTATTACTGTGTAGATAGTATGCTACTCTGAAGATTTAGCCATAACAATGTCAACATCTAGCAGGTTTCCTTTCAAGTTGCAGATGCATTAGAGCAGCCATTTTCAGATGGGCAGTTTGATCTGGTTTTGTCAGTGGAGTGTGGAGAGTATATTCCTGACAAAAGAAAGGTTTTGCTTCTTCCTTGCACCTACTAGGATCACTTATTGTTCATTTCTACACTTAAATTGCCCATTTCTTGTTTTTGCCCATTTCTTGTTATACTTGGTTATATATGTGAAGTTGGTCTCCCTGTTTGTTCAAACTGGCAGTTTGCTGCTGAGTTGGCTAGAGTTGCAGCCCCAGGGGGCACAATTGTCATACTATCATTTTGTCACAGGGATCTTGGCCCTTCTGAAGAATCTCTGCAGCCATGGGAGCTGAAGCGTCTTAAAAAGATATATGATGCTTTCCAAATTCAGGGATATTGTTCTGCTGCTGATTATGTCAACTTTTTCGAGTCCCTCTCTCTTCAAGTAATTACTTTCTTAAATTTGGCTAAAACTCACTTGAATCAGTCTCTAATCAACCCCCACCAGCCTTTGAAACCTTGAGCTGAAGGATTGAACCTTTTTCACAAAATGAATGAGCTAGAACAAAAATTGATAATTAAACTGAACCACTTATCAATATTTAAAGTGTATCGCTTCCTGATATATGGTAGAAGTTTGTATTCCAGAAAAAAAAAAAAAAATTGAAAAAAAAAAAATGAACTGAAAGCTACTCTGAATTTTTTCTTCCGTTCCACGACCGATTAACCAACATGCTGAGTGGAAGTGTAGAGAATTTGTCATTTTCACTTGTGAGTATATATTTACCATTCCCCGTGTTTTACAATTATTTTTGCGAGAGATATTGTTAAAAAATAACATGACATATCACTCAATGACATTTTTAATATGTGTGAAAATTCAAACATGATAATCTCTCCAAGAGTTTTTTTTTCTGGACATTAGAATAGGACTTGACCCGAAATCCATTTTTTTTTTTTTTTGTTATCATAAAATAACAACATGGAATTAATGTCTTAATAGGACAGTAATCACTCAATTATTTCTATGTTACCTCCAAATCTTCTTACTCACAACATGGAATTAATGTCCTGTTTTCATTGCATTGCAGGATATTAAGACAGCAGATTGGTCTCAATATGTTGCCCCATTTTTTCCTTTATTCATTCGCTCGGCATTGACATGGAAGGGCCTGTCATCTCTGCTGCCATCTCTGCTGCGCGGTGGTAAGCTTAGCCTTCATTGCTAGTGATTACTGTTCATTGTTTTTTTTTTTCCTCCCTATTTTAATTTCAATTGTTTACATGAAAATGTGTCTTGACAAGCTTTCATAGTTTGCTGTTTTTTTTGAAAAACAAAAAGAAAAAGGATGCATACTTGGTTATGAATCTTTATGTGCAAGAATATACATTATATGTCATCATGCAAGGATGTGTGAGAAGATTTTTTATTTTAGTAAGTTTAAAAAAGCCTAACCACTCATGAACTTTAAATTATTTGATGTAGAGTACTTAAAATTTTTTATTAGTATTGAAAATTTCTGAGCTTTTATTTATTTTATTTTTTTCAGATTTAGTCCATTCAATAAGTTTTTGCTATAATTTTTCTTTAAAAAAAATTATAATTTTTTGTATATTTTGAGTTAAATTTTTGCGCACATGCTGAAAAAAATTCAATTTATTTTGTAAAAAAATTTCAGCATTTTTCAAAATAAAAAACCATATTTGTTTATTTTTTTAACATTAAAAATATTAAAAAATTGAAAAAATAAAAAATAACTTTGAAATAATCTTTAAATTTTTTGAGGAATCCAATATAAATCTCATTGAATGATTTCTATTGTGAAAATATTTTTGTATTGTTATTTTTTTGAATTAAATGACAGAGAATTGAAGGATGGGTTATTTGTATGATTGGTTTTTTGACACTTGCATTATTTAACTAATTTATTATATTTATATTTTTTTAAAATTCTAAAAAAGGAAAAAGGGCTCCTAGCTAAAGGTAGGTTGTCTCGCCCAAGAGGTGGGAATAGTTGAGAACAAAGTGGCAAACTACAAATTTTTTGATAATTATAATTAAATTAATTATTTTAATTTCTTACCATATAATATAATTTTAACTGGAATAAAAATAAAAATAGGGACTTAAAATTTAATTATGTTTTGAAATGTAATAATTAATTGTTAAGATAAATACATATAACTCTTAAAAATAAAATCACAAAAAAATATTCAACTATCATTATATTATGAAACTTTTTTTATTTTAAATAGTTCTAATCATTATATGTGAGGTGACTATAAATTAACAATACGGACACAACACAAATTATGGGTCTTTTTTTTTTATTAATAAACATTGCTTTTTTGTTAATATTATGAATGTTTGTTTAGAGGAGTAAAATAAAATGTAAGTCAATAACAAAAAAATAACGTATAAAAACTTAAGTAAGTATTCAATTTAATGAATTTTGACTTTATTTAATTATTTTTTAATTTTAATACTTTTATGTTTTTATTGGCTTGTTTTAAAGTCTTTTTAGAGTGTTGATAGTGAAAATAAAGTATTAATATATTATTAATTATATTGTTTAAGAGTGATTTAAGTAATTATCATTTGGGGTTTTTTAATGCAGTATATAGATAATAAAAAATATGAAAACGAAATTAATCTATATTTTTAGATTCATTAAAAAAAAGTCTATTTTTTATGAATTAATAGTTATTTTTTGAAGAATTTTATCAATATTGGTCTTTTTCTTAATTAGAAATGAGGTTGGATTTACTTATTAGTATTTAGTATACTATAATATTAACATTGTATTAAGGGATAATAGTCAATCAAAAGTTTAAAGAATTCGTATTTTTATACATAATTATGGATTTGTTTGATGGTAAACAATCTTCCTTCTTATGTATTTGAGCTTGAGACTTGAGTACATCCCTTGTAACCCTATGAGGAAGGGTCCTCAGCATGGTTTTTGCTATTAATTTCATACCGTTAGTGCTTTTCGTTATATGTCTATCTTACAATGAATTGATCAGGTATGAAAACCCTCGGAGTAGCATTGGTGGCGCCATTGGTACATGACGCCGCTAAGAAGGGTCTATCTAAGTATGCCATCACTACATGCAGAAAGCCCGAGTAAATTTGAGGACTGCATTCTGTAGATGCGAGGAAGCTGTAAGGGTTTGAATAAGGAATGACTAAACTATTTCCATGGTTTGTAGAAAATAAAAGAGAAGAAAAAGGGGAAAGAGTGTGCTGGCCAGAATTATAGCATTACCAATGTCTTTTCTCGTTTTAAAATGCTTGTTAGCTGTTTTGTAGCCCTTATATATGTATGATGGTTGTGTATCGTACGCATGGAGAAGTTATGTGGTAATTGTTGTGGTTGATAGGGCTAGTCTTTTTTACTCTCTAGATCTATTATACCTGCGGTAGTATCCCAAAAAGGTTTATTAAAATTTGATAATTAATAGTTAAGGTAAATGCATTTAACTCTTAAAAACAATAATCATTGAAAAAATATTTCACCTATCATAATATTATTGTGGAACTCTTTTATTTTAAATAGTTCTATTTAATTATATCTGAAGTGAATATAATTAGCAATATGGACACGAAAAACAAAAAATTATAAATTTTTTTTTCATAAACCTTTGCCTTTTTGTTAATGTTATCAATGTTGCTTGAGACGAGTAAAACATAATGTAGGACGATAACAAAAAAAAAAACCTATAAAAATTTAACTAGGATTCAATTTAATAATTTGATCAATTTTGATGTCTTTTAATTATTTTTTGATTTTAATACTTTATGTTTTTATTGGCTTGTTTTAAAGACTTTTTATATTTTGGTAGTTAAAATAAAGTACCAATATATTACTTATTTAGTTTAAGAGCAAATTAAATAGTTTATTTTATATCATTTAGGTTTTTTTATTCCGTATATATCTTAAAAAATATGAAAAAACCCTATTTATTGGAATTTGGTATATATAAAAAATTAACCTATACTTTGAGATTCATTATAAAAAAAATATATTTTTTATGAATTAATAATTAATTTTTTTTATCAATATTGATCTTTTTCTTAATAGAGATGAGATTGGATTTAGTTATTAGTATTTAGTATACTATAATATTAGTCAATCAAAAGTTTTGAAGAGTTCGTATATATAATCTTTCTTCTTCATGTATCCGAACTTGAGTACTTCCTTTATAACTTTATGAGGAAGGGACCTCGGTTTAGTTTTTCCTATTTCATACTGTTAGAAAGCCTGATTAAATTTGAGGAATGCATTCTGTAGATGCAGGAAGCTATAAGGTTTTGAATAAGGAATGGGTGAAATATTTCTAAGGTTTATAGAAAATAAAAGAGAAGGCATGTGATAGTTTTTGCGAGTTGGTTGGGCTAGGAAAGGCCTTTTTTTTTTTTTTTTTTTTAAGGGAAAAAAGGCTTTGTTCCGAATGGAGTTAATGATGATTAAGCATCCATACTTTTATTATTTTTTGGGTTTAAGATTCTAGGTTTTTTAATAAAATACATTAACTCAAAAATAACAACAATGTCATGAAATAATGAATGTCCATCATCATATTCATCTACTTTTCATATCCTCACTACTTATGATTTTTAATATGATTCAATTCATAATTCAATATAAGAAATTGAAAGGGTGATGCAATTGATTATTCATTGTCCCTTTCAATTCTCTTCTCAATTTTGAAGCCTATAAATAGGCTTAATTGTTCATTAGTTGAGGTATAAGTTTTCTAGAGAGAATAAGAGAAACTTTGAAGTTCTTATCACTTGTATTCATATTATAGTGATTTCATTTTCTTGTTATCATTTTCTTCAATTCTTCTATTATTTCTATTTCTTTTATAACACGTTATCACCACGAAGTTCTAACCAATTGAAATAATAAACCATGAGGTATATATCTACCAAAACACTTAATCAATTGTTTCAACCATTGGATTTCTTTTGCACAAGTGCTTTACTAATTGGATCTAAATTATTATTTAAATAATTAAGAGGTATGTATCTAATTTATTGTGTATTTTAAATATAATGATACATAGAATATACATTTGAAAATTTTTAAATGATTTAATATATAGAATCTAATGATCTAATATATGTTGTTTGATAAGCTTTAATTTTATTATTATGTTTTTTCTTATTTTTAATAATATTATTATATATTGTATTATAGAATTTTTATCATATCAAACCTCATAAACTTGATTTTGTGGCTCTTTATATTTCAAATAAGAATTATTGATTATGAGTGCTTGATTCCAAAAAATATTCTCTACTTTTTATGTCTTGAATATGCTCATACGAGTAGCATATCGGGAAAAAGAGTTTAAGAAATATTCTGAATCGATTTCATATTTGCTTATGGCTAAATAAAAATGATAAGCTATTGATGAAAATGAATAAATCTCATCCAACTAGATTTACTCTATTCCCTAAAGTGAATGCGATAACTTATAAAAATTTGGGCATGGATAAAGATGTGATCATAGCCATAGACGTAATTGAAATAATTATCAATATAATTGTGATGACCATAATATTACATCTAACCACCGAAGTGGATAACTATGAAAAAAAAGAGAAAGAATGAAAATAGATAAAGTCAATATTTTGAAAAATAAATATTATAAATGTGAAATGAATGAATATTGATCATGTACCTACCGTACACCAAAGCACCTCATTGAGCCTTGTCAAGCCTTATTGAAAAAATAAAGAGTAAAATATGAAGCCCACTTTTGTATATCAAAACAATAGTAATTGAAATTAATTACTCTTTAGTTTTTCTATTTATAAATAAAATGTTCTATATTTCTTATAATTTATATCGTATAGTGATGGTTACAAATTTATTTTACTATTTATTTATTTGTTTGTGTTTATGAGGAATATATTTATTTATTTATTTTGTATTGATTTATTTGATTATTTATTTTTTGTCAATATTATATATGATAATATCAATCCAATAGAAAGCTCTAGAAGAGTGACTATATTACTATCTAAAGAGATAAATTTTGAAGGCTCTAGAAAAGTGATTATATTATGACTCGAAGAAACAAAATTTTAAAGCTCTAGAAGAGTAAATATATTATTACTTGAAGAGATAACATTTAAAGGCTCTAGAAAAGTCAATATATTATTACTTAAAGTGAATAATTTAAATGCTCCGAGAAAAGCAAATATGTTATTATCCGAAAGAATAAATTTTATTATAAATGATGTACTATTCTCTTCAAAGACTCATAAAAATTTATTGAGCGTCAAAGATATTCATCTAAATTGATCTCATATCGAGATAGCAAATGTGAATACTTATATATTATAATTATTATATTGGGTAGAAAATATATATTGAAAAATTTACTCGATTTCTCTTCTAGTCTTTATTACAAATATTAAAATGATTGAAACAAATGCTATAGTAAACCGAAGTTTACTAATTCAAATACAATTATTATGTGACATGACCAGTTGTGTTATATCCTAAGTCTTTCATGATGTGAAAAATTATTAAAAATTCATATGAATATCTATTGAAGAGCCATAAGATTATTTAATTTAATGAATTTTCATGTTCCGCATGTCTTCAAGACAAATTGATGATTAAGCCATCACCAAGTAAAATTGAGATTGAATTTTCAGTATTTTTAGAATGTATTCAAAGTGATATATGTGGATTAATTCATCCACTATGTGGACCATTTAAATATTTTATGATTTTAATAAATGCATCTACAAGATAGTCACATACATGTTTATTGTTTACTCGAAACTTGACGTTTTTGAGATTGCTAGCAAATAATTTGATTTCGTGCATAATTTTTAGATTATGCCATTGAAACAAGTCACCTTGATAATGCTGATAAATTTATTTCTCAAGCATTAAATTATTATTGATTGGCTATTAGTATAAAGATTGAACAATCTGTTGCTTATGTTTATACTCGTAAAGGTTTAGCATAATTATTTATCAAAAGGTTTCAATCGATAGCTAAACCATTATTTATAAAAATGAAACTCCTTCTTTATGTTTGGGGACATGCAATCTTATTTGTATCGGATCCATAAGTTATCGAAATTCTTTCCTCTTCAATTAATTTATGGTCATAAGCTAATTATTTCTTATTTAAGAATTTTTGGTATTATAGTGTATATCCATAGTGCTCCCCCATAACAAAATAAAATGGGCACTTAAATGAGATTGAAAATATATGTTAGATTTGAATCGTCTTTGATAATTCAATCTCTTGATTCATGAATAAGAGATATTTTTATAACTCGATTTATCGACTTGTCATATTGATGAAATAGTTTTTTCAACATTAGGGGAAAAGAATAAGCAAAATAATCAGTTGAAAATGTTAAAATAATTACATGGAGTACTCTATCTTATATCATCTTGATCCTTGTAAAAGATAATGTGAACTAGAAGTTTAGAAGATAATTCATTTACAAACTATTGAAACCAACTGCTAGATGCATTCTTAGATCTTAAATTAGTAACTAAAATGCATGTCTTTGCTTGAATGCTCCTATTAGAATTGATGTCTTAGAAGGATCATCTATTAATGGTATAGCTAATGAATCTAAAACAAGCTCGAAGCACGGAAGACCAATCGATTTCAAAGATAAAAATCCCTAAAAGGAAAGAGCAAAATGAAAATATAAAAGATGTAAATATTCACAAAACGGTCAAGATAATTTTGATAATAAGGTTCCGGAAGAAGTCCAAATGCTTGAGAAAAATCAAGAGATTTTGATAAATTATGTCAATATAGAGAGAAAATATAACCGAAAAGAAATATTTATTGGTAAGATTTTTGTATGTAATGTTGCAATTGATATTTTGAAAAAACAATAAGGATTCTAAGTCAAAATTTATTGAAGAATGTCAACATAAAGATAATTCGTCTAAATGAAAAGAGCAATCTAAGCGAGAATTATGTTCTCTTATAAAAAAATAATTTGTTTGAACCCATAACTAAAACACTTAAAGATGTTAAGCTAGTGGGACATAAATGAGTATTTTTATGAAAAAAAAACAAAAAATATGAGATTATGAGATACAAAGTAAGACTTATAACACAAGAGTTT